CATTTCCGCAGAGGCGTGCTAATTTCCTCAAAGACATTAAGGTGTTGTTTGTTTTTCTAAAGCAAAAATTCATAAAGTCTGCGGATCACCTTTGCAAACCTCTACAGCAGAAGAGGTGGACCAAACAGCTACAGAGAAACAAGAAGCGTGTTTGTTTTTGTTAACTTCTGCAGACTGCTGCAAACATTAAAAAAATTATAATAAACTAACTTAATAAACCGAAAATGGTTTTTAAACACAGAAAATTTAATAATTGTACTCTTAAAACATTGAAATAAATTTCATACAACCAAAGTAGTCTTACAATAACATTTTGCAATAAAGTTTATACAACCAAACTTTAATAATTTTCATTCGATATTTTGCATCAATTGCTCGGTAATTTCATCCCGTAACTTGGTCATATATTCACAGGCTGCTGCAATACTATATGTTGGAATCTCATCTTCATCATCATCAACGATTGCATTGTTATTCCGAACCGAAACATTTGGTTTATCATATTGTGCAAAATACTCATCACGTAGTCTCTCTCTTCTTATAAAATTGTGAAGCGCGAAATGTACAAGGGTAATGTTTCATTATGTAACCAACGAGAATGGTGTCATCCCCTTTAATATAGGGAATCGTGATTTCAAGCCACCAAAAGCACACTCAATGACGTTTCGAAGTTTTGCATGTGCATGGTTAAAATTTTCTTTATTCGTTAATGCATGTCTTGGACAGAAATCTCCAAGCCAATACCTCATATTACGGTACGGTGCCATAAAACCTCGAAAGTTTGCATATGCGGCATCACAAAGATACTATTTATTTGTAAAAAGGAAAAATAAATAAATAAATTAATATCATTTCTTTTTCAAACTATGATAATACTATTTAAATAACTATAAACTTACCTGATGGTGGTAACGGGAATGGTGCATGTGGATTTGCTAATGCTTCTGATAATATTCTCGAATCGTGTGTTATCCCTTCCCAACCGGTCATAACAAACGTAAAGATCATGTTGAGTCACATATTGCCAATACGTTTTGGTAACAATCGTCTTTTCCCCTACTTCTATATAAATCTCGTTTGTTTGCAGGGACAACAACATGTATCAAAGTGTCATCAAGTGCACCAACTGCTCATTTGAATATCCGTCGCAGCCTCCTGTTATGGCCCGGAATGTTTGGATTCGGATTAAAAGAAGTTGATACTATAATGTCATGTGCGATAATGTTGAAGACGACGAGGGGCGAAGGGCGAGGGGCTGGAGGCGAGCAATTTTTTGGCGATGTTGAAGACGATGGCAACAAAAATGGTTTTTGGGGCAGCAACCGCGGCGACCGGCGACAGCGAGGGGCGAGCGGCTGGAGGTGAGCGACAACAGCTGGAGGAGTTCTACCATCTTCAAGAGGATCGATGAGAAGGGAGAAGCAACCGAGAAGGAAGAAGGAGAACGAACAGCAACTATACACGTTTTTTAGATTAGGTTAGAAGTGGTGAAAAGAGGCAAGCCCAATGATGTGTGGGGAAGAGGACGGGAAGAGGTTTTTGAGCCCGAAGTCTTTTAAAAAACAAACTGTTGCGAACTTAAAAATGTTACGCGTGTGCTGCGCCGGGCAACACTAAAAGGTTAAAAGAGCTTTTTTTTTTTAAAACAAACACAACCTAAGCGATCCGTAGATCCCCCTCTATGGATCTGGTGGTCATTTTACGGTAGGAACCCAAAAATTGGTCGAAACCGCAATGACTATGCTCCACCAATAATTTCGCCAAGGATACAAACGTCAAACTCATTTACTTGGTTGTGACGGGGCACCGCGCATGGAACGTAATACAGACTCGACAGAATAATCATATATGACGAATATCCATTAAACGTCATTTAAATGAGTTTTTCTTTTCTTTTTCATTTCTTTTTTTTTCCGTTAAAAAAATCAGAAAAAATAAATAAATAGATATATGCTCGGTTTTAATGTTTTTAATTTTTTGTTTTTGCTTTTTTCATTTTTTTTTTTTTTTTGTTTCTTAAAAAACATTATTTTTTTTTTCGTTTTTTTAATATGTTTACTACACACTTGAAGATAGTAGAGATTTTTTTGATTTTTATTTTTATTTTTTAAACTAAATATAGGATTGAGTTTTTAATTTTTAACATTTATAAAATTTTAAATAAGAAGAATATTAAGGATTATAATATTTTTCGTTTTTTTTTTTTTGTATCATATTATTGTTGGATCATAAAATTTTGAATCATAGTATTTTAAATCATCATGATATTATACATCATATATTTTAGATCATATTAATTTTGATCATTTTATGTTAGATCATAATATATTGAATTAAATAAAAAAAATTATTCAATACAACATTTTGATCATTATGTTTTTTGAATTGTTTAATTTTAAATCATAAAAAAATATAAAAGTTAAGAATCATTAAATATTTAAATCAAAATATTTTAAGATCATAACAAGTTAAGGGTCATAAACATATTAAATCATAACATTTTTGAATCATAAATATCTTGAATCATCTCTATTTGCATCTTACTATGTTCAACATTTTTTTTTAAAAACTTTTAATCTTTTAAAATCAAGTTTGGTATCTAAAACACCTTATTATTTAAAAAAAAAATACAAAGTCATTAAAATAGTGAGTAAAAAGTATTCCTTAAATTTTTATAATTTTTGTTGAATTTGTTCTCTAAGTTTTTTTTTATAAAAATTAAAAATAATAAAATATATATTTTTTTTCATTTTGTAAAGAATTAAAATTTAAGAACTTTGGTTCTTTCAGATTTTTTTTTTAAAGAAAAAAAAGTTATTGCCGGAAAACTAAACGGGTGGTAAAAAAACACATCAAACAATAAGAGTTAGACACTTGTCATGCGGGAGGGGGGAGGCACGTGTCAGCTGTTGGAGAGGCCATATGGCCGAATTTTCATTTTCATTTTTCTTTTTTCTTTTAATCTTTTTGATTTTGCACTTGTATCAACCAAACAATTAACTTTCCCCGAAAATTATTAAAATCTTGCAGTTAGTTACGAAAATGTCATATCATCTCGTGAGATTTTGACAATAAATAAAATCAAATTCTAATCGTTTATTTTTTTCAATTTTAAGGCCAAAATTATTTTCACGGTTTCTATAATTTTTTGAGTTCCTACTTCAGCCTACCTCAATATATATATATATATATATATATATATATATATATATATATATATATATATATATTATATATATATATATATATATATATAAGGCTGAGATCGGTTGAGAACTCAAAGTTTCCCGACAACCCGAGAACTAAAAGTGGAGCATTGGATTAAAAATAATTCGTTAAGGACATGATCGTCATTTAACCAATCTCATTTAGTGTTTAATTTTTTGTGTTATTTAATATATTAATATAAATGTCTAAAAATTAATAAAATAACTCAAAATTTCGGATTTGTTTATTTTTTAAATAATTTTTGTTTTTTTTTAAATGGAGATTTTTTAATTTTTTTCAAAAAACATAAATTTTTCAAAAAAAAAATGAAAAAAAAAAAGTATTTTTTTAAACTGCATCTTTTTTTTCAAAAAAAAAATTGCATTTTGAAAAAACAAACTACATTTTTTCTAGAAAAAAAAAACTGTATTTTTTTTTAAAAAAACTATATTTTTTTTTCAAAAAAACTGTATTTTTTTTTTCATAAAAACTACATTTTTTTCAAAAAAAAAATGCGATTTTTATATAAAAAAAAAATCAAAACTGCATTTTTTTAATAAAAAAATCAACATTTTAGGTGCATATATGCATATTTTTTCAAATGCATATATTCATATTTCTTATACTATAATATTCGTAGGTAAATTATAAACAATCTTATCTTTATTAATCAATCTATAAAGATAATACAAATATTTTATTCGATACGAAATAAAATATAAAAAAACTACAAAGATTCATAGTGTTATCATTTCTTCATATCAAGATTTCCATATTTTCTTCAGTTTATCACTTTTCACATCTTCAATATTTTCAACAAATTCTTCAAAACCTAAAAGAAAATTTATAAAAAAAAATTGATTAAAGCTAGAACACTCAGAAAAATGCACAATTATATATCATGTAAGATTCACATGTGATTATATCATGTAAGATTCAAATGTGATTATATAATGTGATATTCACATGTGATTGTATCTTTTAAGATTCAAATTTGAAATTCACAAGAAAATTAAAAAAAAATTAACAAAGACCATTCACACAAAATGCATGTGTGCGACGTAATTCATATGTGATTCACTAGTGATTTACATGTGAATCACATGAAATTCATATGTTATTCGCTTGTGATTTACATGTGAATCACATGTAATTGATATATGATTCACTTGTGATTTACCTGTGAATTACATGTGATTAATATGTGAATTACATGTAATTTATATGTGAATCATATATGAATTACATGTGATTTACATGTGAATCACATGTAATTCATATGTGAATTAGACATTATAAACATGTAAATCACATATAATTCATATGTGATTCACTAGTGATTTACATGTGATTCACATATAATTCATATGTGATTCACTTGTGATTTACATGTGAATCACAAGTGAATCATATGTGAATTACATTTAATTCATATGTGAATTACATGTAATTCATATGTGAATCACTTGTGATTTACATGTGAATCACACATAATTCATATGTGAATCACTTGTGATTTACATATGAATCATGTGTGAATTACATGTGATTTACATGTGAATCACATGTAATTCATAATTACATGTGAATTACATGTAATTCATATGTGATTTACTTGTGAATCACATGTAATTCACATATGAATTACATGTGATTTACTTATAACCATCACACCATGATTCAGACAAATACAAAAATTCAAGAAAAATCGAATATGAACCAGTATCAATTATTATTGACCTGATAGGAGAGTTGTTGGATGACACTTTGAATTAATTATGCTTGTAGCTAGCTTATGATAAGGACAATATGGACTCAATGTAGTGTTGTAAGAAACAAGTTCCAGTAGTTGTTTCCATGGGAAGCGCTACCTGTAAGATGATGCTAATTTTACTATATAGCATTAAGTCAAATAAACAAATGTTTTGATATCAGTATTGATAAAATGATGTGAAAACCTTTATTCCTTTGTATCCAAGACGTTCCCCAAGCCCTCCTACAACAAGAACAAAGGCAACATTTTGTATCTGCTTCACACCACTCTCCTCATATTGGATAAAGTTATCATCACCACAAGTGAGGACTTCACCTGATGGAACCTTCAAAAATAGAGACCTTTTTTTTATACTGAATGATCATAATGAGATAAACTTATCAATGCAGATAATCAAGAAAACAAAAGGCCAAGTTGCAGTGATTGGTACCAAGATGGGGTGTAGTAGTAACTTACAGAAGGTGTGAAGCCATCAATTGGGTTCCTTCCTACCTTTGAATCTGCCAAGAGTTCTCTGGCAGTCTTGATATATGATGCCAAACCTCCAGGGTAACTTGAATTAAGCAAATCTACCTAAAAGAACTAAGCAAATGTCATTCTAGGATACAAACAACAACAAAAATTGTGGTAATCCTTTGAATAAGCATCAAAAAGCTAGGATTTTATATACTTTTAATATAATATTTCCAATTTAGGGAAATGAAGATGCGATTACACAATACCAAGGTCAATGGAGATCGGCCATCAAAGGAATAACATATAGAAACGACCAAAATTAATTGCTTAATTCAAAAACCCTAGCAGCAAGAAAAATTACCTGAGCAAGCAGAGCTTTTTTATCATCATCATCATCAACACCAGGATCCGGCCAATTCTCAAACAAATGAACCTGCCCCGTCTCCAACAACATCTTTCCGAGCTCTATATGCACATACCCTAAAAAGGTAAAATCAATCCTGTGTGACTCATTGTTATAACACACACACATACTTGTTCAGGAGATAGAATGGAGAGGTTTTTTGGAGATTAGGAGATGAAGATGTGGAGAGTTCATTGAGTTGAATGGTGGCGAGTTTCTGAATGGCGGAATCGACCGCTGAAGCCATGAATTAGGAAATTGTGAGGACGATCTCAACTCTGATCTAGAAACAGAGCTCGGTAATTGCAAACAAAAAATGGTGAAAGTGAAGAAGATGATTACAACAATGAAGTAGAGAAATAGCTGATGGAATATTTTTTGAGTATATATTCAAATCAGTTTATCATATTCTAACCCTAATTACACACCTAAACAAAAAAATCGACTACTCAAACTCAAATTAAGTTCATCTTCAAACTCAAACTACCATCCCTGGTTTTGGAGAACATATCAATCCCTCGAAATTTGAGGCAAAATGAGTTCTAAATTCTAATTTCGAGATAATTGCGCTATAATCCAAAATTCAATACCTATAAAATTTAATGCTAACAAATGTACTAATAAACGTAGAGGAGGGAAGAAAGTACTGAATCTGCTAGGTCACCGAGCTGACGGAGAACGCCAACAAGACCAGCCATAGCAACACCTTCAAGCAAAGCTTTGGGATCATTTTTATCTACTGCTTTATAGAACTATTGATTAGCCAAACTGTACACATTTCTTATCTGATATCTATCTATCGGTATTTCTTCAGATTTCCAACTGGACATTCGATATGACTATCTTTTCCAAATCGACAAGTCAAGATCAGATTCAGAAGAAAACGACCGACCTAATGCTTCACTATAGATTTTCTGATGAACTATACTCACATCTTGTCACACTTCGATGATGATTTCAGGATTTGAGATCCGGCGATTTGAGATCGGAGGTGTGATGAACGGTAGAGAGAGAGAGAGAGAGAGAGAGAGATAGCATAAAGAGTTGACGTGATTAAATGTACCTAAAATGTCCCTGATTTATTTTAATAAGATGTCCCCGCCCCATTTTACAAAAGTGCCATGAAGCATCCTAACCCTCTATTATTTTAATCTAACGGTTATTATTTAGTTCTCGGTTTCTCAGGAAACTTTGAGTTCTCAAATGATCTTTCCCCTCTCTCTCTCTCTCTCTCTCTCTATATATATATATATATATATATATATATATATATATATATATATATATATATATATATATATGGAGATGAACTCCAATCGTCCCAATTAATCGCCCTATTACGTCCTCGATGCTTAAGCCATAGAAATAAATTTGCCTTTGTCATATCTGGATCGTAGGTAAACTATTTTAAAGCTAATATGTATATTTTAATTTTGATAAGAGGGTCGTACGCAGGGCATAGCTCATTAAACGTGGCATTGGGGTTTCTCGTGAGTACACTGGGCATACCTAAAGTATACAGGGCATACTCATGGTGAATGAAAACTTTAATTTTAGGTTCTTGAGTATGTTGGGCGTACCTAAAATACATAGGGTGTACTTGACGTACCTTGGAAACACATATTATCATCAGCCACCACTTTCTCTCTCAGCCTCCGCAAAACCCTAGCTTCATTTGTGAGAATCTCAAGCTTTTGTGTGATTTTTTATGTGTTATAGTGAAGAAGGAGATATTGGAAGGTATGATTGGAGCCCATAGCTTGTATGTCCAAAAAAAATCATCTTTATCATCATTTTGGAGGTATAAAGTCTCAACCTTTATGATTCTTTTGCATAGATCTGATTTAGTTTACGGTTTTGGCATATTTTGGTCCCAAAGGTTCCCTCTTGTGAGTATAAGCTACTCCAAAGTTCAAGTTAGTTAATTTATGATGTTTCTAAGGATCTTGAGCCATAAAAATGGATTCTTTGATGTTATTTCTCACTTATGCAAGAGTTTGAGGTTGATTAAGAATGTTAATGACTTAGGGTTTGCTTTTGGGATTTATTAAGACATTAAAAAGCTTAAAGTAGTCGACTTTATGAATTAAGACCTTCCCAAGATTAAGATCTCTCAGTTAGACAAAATGTCTTTAAGCATTAAGAAATTAATAGCAAATTTTGGGCAACTGACGGGTACGCTAGGCCTACCCTCTAGGTATGGACGGCGTAACGAGTTTAGCCTGTTTCCTTTTTAGGTGAATGTTCGGTACGATGGCGTATACATGATGTATGCATGGCGTACTTACCTGAAGCCCATTTGGGCCATTTTTGGGCCTTGGGCCATGGTTGGTTGGGTCTAAAGTGGGAAGGGTAAGTGGGTCTTTTACCCTTTGTAAGAGAGATTATGATTTGGACCTTTATTTGTGGGTTATTACCCTAAATAGTAATTAGGGTTGGCTTGAATGTGTTCAGTGTGAGAAGTCGTTGTAGCAACAGCTTGTGTGTGTGATTATTTATCATCAGATTCAGGTGAGACTTTTCATTATACTCGTGGGTCGAAGGCACCAATGTCGGCCCATTGGATTATGTTTGTAGGATGTTAGTTGTCTGTGTGATACTTGCATGTTTTGTATGTTGGGTGGGGACTGTTATACGAGATACGGCGAGGCCCGTTATACGAGTTAGGGTGAGTCTTGTTATACTTAGTGGGCAGGTCCTATTATATAAGTTAGGGTGAGCCCCATTATACTTAGTAGACGGGGCATGTTATGTAAGTTAGGGTGAGGCCTGTTATGCGAGTTAGGACGGGGATCGTTGCTTGCATGGTATGTGGTGTTTTGGTGAACTCACTAAGCTTTGTGCTTACAGTTTGTGTTTCAATGTTTTCAGGTACTTCTGATTCAAAAGGGAAGGGTCCACCCTGATCACAATGCATCCACATGTGTCCAACATTTTACAATTTTGGGATTGTACCCTAATAACTATTTTCAACTATGACATACTTTGATGGTTTTCGAAAAAATTTATATTTCATGGTTCTGTTGATTTTAAAACAAAAAAAATTTACTTTGCATTTTTGGGATGTTACAAATTGGTATCAGAGCCTTGGTTTGAGGGATTCAGGACACTCTCAGTGTGTTTGAACTCAAACTGAGGAATTAGTAAAAAAGAAGAGTATTTTTCCAAATGGATTTTTATGAAATGGGTTGTGATGTGTGCAATCGGTTGTGCTCAAGTAAGTGTTCCTAAAATACATAAACATGTTTATTTGAGTCAATGTGTAAATAACTTGCTTGATTAAGGTTAAGGATTTGGTTAAAATTGTATGTTAAGAGAGATGCCTTTGTATGCTTGTTGTATAGCCTCTAGAACTGCATGCTAGTAGATTTATAGACAATATGTAGGATGGCTTGTTAGGCAGTGCTCTTGGTTAGAACTTGATGCCCGAATGATGTTTGCTTTGTGCTTTAGGAACCACTACTAATACTAGTTCACTATCAAGCGAATATGTTAGGTTACATGTTACATAAATTAGATAATTTTAGAAGGTTAGGTTTAAATCTATTGTGCAACTTTTATTTGAGTCCAACTGTTATAGTGTGAGACCTTGCAGTCAAAGAATTATCCAGTGTTTGTTGCGTGTAATTATATTCATAAGGTAGTTAGCGAGTGTTAGTGGGGGGGTTTTTTGTAGCTGATGGCAGAGAATGGCGAGAAGGGAATCCTAGGAGAACCTAGGAAGCATGTAATCATATTCGTAAGGTAGTTAGCGAGTGTTAGTGGGGTGTTTTTTCTGCAGCTGATGGTGGAGAATGGTGGGAAAGGAATCCTAAAAGAACCTAGGAAGCATGTTAGCATTAGCAAATGTTTTTTTTGTTTAGTGGGAATGTTGAATGTTGGGAATTAAGGGAGTCACATGGGGGAATCGGGACGACTCTTGAGGAAAGCATAAATAGGTGTGGAATGTAGTATTGGGACCATACTACTGGAAGCATAGGACATGTATCGAGTCAAAGGATTCACGAGGATACTAAGGGACCCACATGGTGTGAGATTCTTGAAGTGTTTTTTGATGGTTTGAATTGTTTATTTTTAATATGGTGGTGACTCGAGGTGGTTCGGGTCCTGGTGACGGATTGAATTCGGGCTCTAGAGCCGGACCCTTGGATGATTAGATGCGGGAGTTTATTTCGACTGAGATTGCCTGCAACATTCTGGAGCAGTCTCTTGTGATCTTTGGTATGATCAAGGAGATTATGGATGAGCGTCTAGGCGTATTTCACACTAAGATGGTGGCTATGGTGGGTGAACGCTCTCTGGATTTTCTAGAGTTTTGTTTACATAGGGATCTTGAGTTCCTTGGAATGAAGGACCTCATTACTAGCAAACGGTAGTTGGCGGCCATTGGGAACGCCTTCCAGACTAGCTTTTACCCCGAGGGGTCGAAGGTCAGATTTGCATCCTATCTTTTGAAAGACAGTTGCTGGGAGGAGGTGGAATATGATATGGGAGGTGAGGCTGTTGAGACAATGTCTTGGGGTGACTTTGTTATAAAATTTAGGGCTGAGTTTGTCCCCGTGATTGAGGTTAGCATTCGGCGAGGGAGTTTTAGAACCTTTGCCAGATTACTGAGACTATAGTGAAGATCACTACCATGTTATGTGAGATGGACTTGTTGGTTCCGCAGTATGTGGCCGACGAGGAGATGAAGAAATCCAGGTACCATGATATGCTGAAGGATGGCATACGGGAGTTTATAAGCTCATCTAGCTGGACGACATTAGAGTACATGATAACTTGGGCTCGCGAGTGGGAGATATATCTGGAGTCAATGAGGAAAAGGAAGATGGTTCAGGATCACGTATCTGAGGGCTTAGGGAAGAAGCCCAAGGTTGTAGATTTGAGAGCAAGGGGCCAGTAAGGTTGGGGTCGATGTGGCCAGACGCACGAGGGAGCTTGTGGGACGGGTGGTTTTGGTTGCTACAAGTGCAGCAAGACTAGTCACTTCAGCAGGGATTGCACTGTCACTACCACCACCCAGGGATAAAGTCTAATTTGCTTTCATTGCA